ACAATCGATTATCCCTCTCAGGATAAAATGTGTGCACTACCATATTTGCTAGATGAAGTGTGGTTGCTTCAGAAAGTGCTGCAACTGTGCACCAGATGACACAATTAGCACCAGAACAGCTGAGAGTTTTGTTATCTGAATTCCATTGTTAATTTTAGCACAGAGGACTGAAAAGATTAGGTGAGAAGGCATCTCAATAAGTTACAAAACAGCTCACTTTTTAGTATCTTTTTGCTGCTGTCTTAATTCTGTTGTTTTGATAGTGGAAAATACAGGCAAACTGCATAAAGAATCATGGACTGGTATCAAAATAAGCCAAAGGAGCAGAAATAGCCAAATCTAATCAACAGGTGGAAGGTGACTAACCAGTCCACAGCATAAGCGGTTCCACAGTGGTCACCACTTCAGTGGATCAAACATCCCCAGTTGGCCAGCTATTCCCAGCTGGAAGTAGCTACAGGGGTTTCTTTTCAGAAGAGAATAGCATTGCCGTTTATAGTGATGAGCATCTCCAATGGGATTAGAATCACATGATCTTTTTTTTTTTTTTGTATTTAAATCCTTACCATATCTTTTTATATGCTTAGAGGCTCTTTGTAAGCATTGTTTATCTTGGGTAGGAGCCCAGTTTGTTCCTTGGTTGGATTCTTCACAGCAGATTCTTAACAATTATATTATATTAATCTCTGAAGACTGCCACATTGGGTAGAACAGCGGGTTTGGAACCTAAGAGGTTATGGTAGTTCAAGTTGTCATATTCAAGTATTTTAGGGGGAAAACTATCCGGAACAGCAATGTGAAAACAATCATTTTTACACTGATTTGACTAACTTCCCTATTCAAAACAGGATAGGGTTCATTACAAGTCAGTATTTCTAAGATACAATTTACATGCTTGAAAAAAACGTGAAAGAAGAAAATAGTGTTCAATTAAAAAAGTTTCAAAAGCAAGCAATAGCACACATGAGTAGAAAAAAATACAATTGTCATTGAATTTAAAAATGATGTTACTTATTAAAAATAAATTTTCCTAGATTATTACTTGGATATAAAAAGAACTAAAAGAAAAGGTTTAGAATATAACTAGGGTTTTTTTGGGGGTGAGAGGGAACTTTTTTAAAAAGATTTTTTTTTTTTTATTAGAAAGGCAGATCAGCTTTACAGAGACGAGGAGAGTCAGATAGATCTTCTACCCACTGGTTCACTCTCCAAGTGGCTGTAACTGCTGGAGCTGAGCCAATCCAAAGCCAGGAGATAGGAGCATCCTCCAAGTCTCCCACAAGGGTGTAGGATCCCAAGGCTTCGGGCCTGCTTTTCCAGGTGATTAACAGGGAGCTGGGTGAGAAATGGAGTAGCCAGGACTTGAACTGGTGACCATATGGGATGTTGACGTTTGCAAAGTGAGGATTTAGCCATTGAGTCATTGCACCGGGGATGGGGAGCTTTTCTTAGAAAGTAAATCTTTTTGTTAAATTCAGAAAGTAGAAGTATTCTGAATTTTGCTGAAACAATGCTTTTCCAAGGGATAGACTCAATTCTAGGGCTAAGTATACCTGAGCTGCATAGGAAAGAGGAAATCACTGTCTTTTTGGAGACCTGATACTTTGTGTTTGGAGGACCAGGGTATAATAAGGAGTGGCATAGTTCTGTGAGGGTATGTCATGTTGCCCATCCAGACAATAAAAACCTGTCTTTGCTAGTTCCCTTTTATTTATTCAACTAACAGTATCTTAATGGTGCTTATGTTGAAAAGAGACTTTTTATTTGGCAATATTTATAATTGGGTTGTAGAAGTGTTTTGTGAAATGCACATGTATTAACTTTTACAAAAATGATATGAAGATTTTTTTAAAATGCTTATGTAATTCTTAACAGTGATAGTTTAGTATTTAATAGCTTTTTTGTATTGGAATTGTTAGTTTGAATAACTTCTAGAAAATGATATGATAATATCACATATGCAATTTCTCAATATAAAATGCAATGACAATCCATTTCGTTACACTATCAAAAGTAGATCTTTAAAAGAACTCTTTGAAATAATTCAATTATTTCATTCTTCAAAATATATTTACTTAAAATATAAACTATTAAAATGATACAGAATATAATAGAATCATGTTTTCTGGAATGTAATTACTGTATAAAATTTAAAATAGTTGTTAAGCATGGATGGTTGTTAAGACTGATAAAAACCACCTCCAGCCTCATCTATTATTTAATCATGGCATGCCGTGCATTAAAATATTATAGCCAACAAGAAGGAGTCAAAATTTTGGAAAGCAACTAAACTGAACCTTTAATGAATAATTTGGTAGTAAAAAATGCTGTTCAATTTATTGTTATTATAAATTTAATGCTATGTATAACATGAAAATATCTAGAAAAGTCTGTTTACATTTTATATATTGTGAATTCTCTTAGAAAATTCTGATATATTTAAGGTAGGACATATTTCTTTTGCAAAATTGAAATACTTTCATATCCAAGGAATTGAGGCTTCACTATTTTTAAATGTTTTGAATTTTTGATAAAAGACAGCTTTAGGACTCCAATTATAGGGCCAAGTCTACATTTACAGTAACTAATAAGAAAATAGTAAAATTCAAAGCTATTGATACACTGTCTGAATGCCAAGTCTAGATACCAGGCACAGCATTGTAGAATCACAGCCTTGAGAAGTCTGGGAGCAGAGGAGTGTCACAGGGTATTACAGACAGAACTACAGACCTAAGATGTAGTTGCATCTGGAGGCGGTGTCGAGGGTCAGTCTGTGGAGACACTCCAGCCTGATTCTGAAAGCCACAGCAAGGCTGGTTGCCACTGTGGGAAGGTCTGAGTAAAAATCTATTTAATAGGAACTTTATACAGTGTGTGCTGGAAGCTATAAAATATTTGTTATTGACAACAGATGGATCAGAAAGAGGCAGAGAATAAAACAGCCAAAATTCAAGTAAAAATCAAGGTGCAAATTCTTGAAGAAGAAGCTTATATCTTTGAATGTTATTCTCAACATTTTGAAATTAATAACTATATAGACGTGCTGAACAGAATTGAACCTAGAGTGTTTTGCTTCATCATCTATCATCTAGAAGGATTATTAATAGAGGAGAAAGATAATACAGACATAAATTTGTATGTTATGCTCTCTGTGGGCTAACTTGTCCCATGGTGGTGCCACCAGAAAAGTAACAAGGTTAGGCACTAAGGTGCGTCTTTGGTGTTTTTACACCTTGCTTTAAAAAGTTCCCCCAAGAAAAATGAATCCAAAATCACTTCCTTCCTGCAGGTCTTTTCACTGCATTAATTCTAAAAACTGCCTTGGCCGCATAAAGCTCTGCAGGGTGCTCCGTTGCAGAGAGAGCTTCATTCTGCAGCTGAGAGCATTCAGTTAGTATTTTTATTTATGGATCTTGACTTAGAACTTCACATATCTTTGGTTTTCCTTTGCAAACTAAGCATGAGTGAAGCGTGAGGCTGTTGCCTCCCCAAGTTAACTCCTGTAACGTTGCCCACACCTATCGGTGTGCTTCCATTTGTTCTTTTCAACGTTTGAACACAATTCCCCACAGTGAGATTCCCTAGTCTGCATCTTCATGTCTTGAGTATGGATGGAATTTAGTACAGAAGTTTTTTTTTTTTAATTCCTAGATGTTTGGTAATTCTCCTGAGGCTATATTAATGTGACTAGAGTGATTCATGCTTGTTCAAATCAACGCAAATTATACTTTACTTATAATTGTAAGGGGATTTCACGGTTCATCACAGTTTGGGGAAAAAGCAGTTCAAAACAAATTTCTTAGAAGTAGATCTCAGCTGCTACAAAAGTTTCATGTCAGATTCCACCCCTGTTAGATAGAGGATTAGCTCCAAATTTTCAACATTTTTTTCCAGTAAATAATTTCAATATCATTATGAACGAACTGACATTTCTGATAGACAATGAATTGGCTTAGGTAAAGCTACAATGTTTTATCAAAACAGAATTTAACCATTACTTGGTCATTTCCTTACCAGCGCTTTTGATTTGACTGACCAGCTTCAATCTACAGGAACAGCTTTGTTCCTAAGAGACTATAAATCAAAGGACTACTCACTAAGGGGTAATTCCTGCTGTAATTCAAAGACTGTGCTATTATCACGGAGCCACTGGCAGTAAACACCACTGCAAATATTAGCCAGCACTCAGATGGGGAACGTGGTGTTGTGGTTCCACTCTCTCCTTCTGTAACCTCTCTGGTGGTGAGAAAAATTGTGCAATAAAACAAGTTTTGCCACCACATACTATAGTCCTGCTTGAGCTCAAGGCGGAGACTTCACTTCCTTTCTTTTGCATTCTGAGCCCCAGGAGCACAATGAGGGTGTTGTGCTCTGGGCTACCCTGGCATGCAGGAGACTTAGAAAGGAGGTGTGAGTAGCTTCCAATACCTACACTGTTTGCTTTATAACTGTCCCTTAACTAAATCAAACAGCACACAGCAGACACCCTGGCCAGAATAAGCAAGTACAAGATCCATGGGTTACTATGACCTACACAGGGAACAACATTTCTTAAAAGTATACGTAGGTATTTGAAGAGTTCAATAAATCCTTTACAAAGCTTAAAAACAAATGCTTCTTAATACACAAGAAACTGGCATTCCATCTAGTTTTCTTATATATGTCAGAGTGCAGGTCATAAAGGAATCCATTGTTTGAAGGAGGGCAAGGTTGCCTGCTATGAAATCTATCCAGAACAACCGGCCGTCACAGTTTGTTACAACAACAACAGATATTGGTTTTAAATCCCAAGACACAACAGTCATGTTTTTCAATCATAAGATTTCTAGAACCCAAATTCACGGAAGCAAATCTTTATGTGTGTCTCTGACACTATCTTGTGGAAACATGTGTATCTTCTTGATAAATTCAGATCTCACACACTCCCAGTACATCCTTCAGGTTAACTTTCATTCTAAGTTATTTTTACACTGTGTTTCCGAAAGGGAAAAAGAGCTTACCTCTGTCAGTCAAGTGGGATGCCCAGGAAGCCCCTTCTCCGCTCCAGCTTCAGGCAGGCAGATGCTCTGTGAGCCAAGAATCTGCTAGCAGGAAGCAGGTACACCCGGGAGCGTCCGCCTGCGTTCCAGTCCAGTGCCCATCTGAGCACACCTGCTTTTTCAGACCTGCCGCTCATAAGCAGCAGCCACACACAGGGCTGGTGTCAACACAGGGCGACACCCTCCTTCCAGATCACTGGTTTTCAAGGCAAGCAGCGAGGGAGCCGCTGCGATGATATTGCAGGGGAGGCTTGCCTTTCCCAGACAAAACCCCTTACTGCTGCCGGATAGCAGATATGCAGCATTCTCACTCCGCATTCCACGTTCTCCAATCAGCTAATTGCAGCAGCCGTCAGCAGCTCGTCCAAACGGCAGCTTGCGGGCATGCGTGGCTGTAATCATTGTATACTAACATGCCTACTGCTTCTTGCGTCTCTGAATGAATTTGGACAAAAAAATAAATAAACCGCTCCTTCCAGGATGAAGCTCAGCGGAACATCCCACACTGTTTTCCATAAGTAAAATGGCTGGTCCTTTCAGCCCTGCCGCAGACAGCTCACTGGGTTCCACAGGCTTTCCGTAGCCATAGCAACAACCAACAGCTAGGCTAAGCAAGCATGGCCGATCATGTGCAACACCCCACGATACAGCTTGTTAATTTCTTTATCTTTTTCCCCCCAACCCTGCTATCTTTCTAAACATTTCACTGAAAGAAGTGCTCGAATTTCTCGACTTTCTTGAGGAATTGACGTTATCTTGAACAGGTGCTGCCTATGTAATCGAGGAAGTGACGCTTTGCGCCATGCGCCGTCTATCCAGGTTAATAATATGCAAATCACCGGAGAGTCCCACACTGCAACCTTTGTCAAAACAAATTCTATCTTCGAATCATAGAATGAGCATGAAGGTGATTGGCAGAGAAGGACAGTGTGCTTTTTGTTATGAATGATAATCTTACAGCTGCTGAGCTGAAAACAAAGCCCTGGAATGGGTGCACAGGGTCAAAACAGCTACATTACGACAGTCTATGTTAATAAGATTTAAAAATATAATTTTGTAACTGGATTCCATGTGTCCTATTTTAATATGCTTTGCAAATTTTATACAATTCAGAATCAACATTAATTCAGATGCTTATTATTTCTACTGTAGAAGATGTTTCCTTAACTAAGCATTTTATTTGTAGTTTAAAAATATATTCAAAAATTCCAAATCAATTTAAAACTCTTTTGACATGAGGCCTGACCTCTAAGACAGGAACAGCTCTGCTTCCTGAGCAAGATGAGTCACCTTCCACCCTTATAATTTTACCTCCTTTAGGACAAATACCATTAACAGTTGAAAGCTTGTGGGCTTTTACTATAATGTAGCAAGTTAAGCTGCTGCATGTAGTGTTGGTATCTCATATAGGTGCCTGTTCAAATCCTGGCTGATCAAATTCCCATCCAGCTCCCTGCTTAAAGAACCTGAGAAAATAACAGAGGATGGCCCAAGTGCTTGGGTCCCTGCACCCACATGGGACACCAGGAAGAGGCTCCCTGTTCCTGGCTTCAATCTGGCTCAGCTCTGGTCTTTGAGTCATTTGCAAGTGAATCAGTGAATGGAAGATCTCTGTCTGTCTGTCTGTCTGTCTCTCTCTCCCTCTCTTTATGTTTGTGTGTGTGTCTGTCTCTGACTTTTCTGCATGCTTTTGCCTTTCAAATAAATGCATTAAATGTTAAAAAAAATATATTAAAACTTAGTCAACCCCCTAGCTCTTTCTTCTTTGGATTGAAGCTGAACCAATCTGAAACCAGGAGCTGGGAGTCTTTTCCAGGTCTCCCACATGGGTGCAGGGTCCTAAGGCGTTTGGCCACCTTTGCTGCTTTCCCAGGCCAAAAGCAGAGAACTTAGTGGGAAATGCGGCAGCCAGGATATGAACCAGTGCCCATATGGGATACCGGCACTTAGAGCAGCCAATTGAGCTGCTCCCTGACTCTTCTTGTCTTTGAATACTGTGTTACAACTCATATTATCTTCATATTTCCAAGGCACTATCGCATTTACTTTGGTTCTGTTTGTAGGTGTATGTTCACACTTTGGACCTGTAAATAGAGATGTGTCTGTGGCTGGTAGTCATTGATTTCCATTTTCCAAGTATTGCCTTTCACTATCCAGGTTAACTCTTCTGCTGTCGGTAGCAAGTGCCAAACTGTAGTATATACAGAAATTCTGTGGAGAGCACTTGGGCATCCATCCTCTCTTCCTTCTCCAAACAGCTTCACCTGTGGTAGTTGTAAGCCAGTTCAGAAAACCAAATTATTTGGGTTTTATTCTGCCTTTACATTGAACGTCATATTCCACTTTTCACTTCCCATGTTTCAAAACCTTCAATTACATGGTTTACGTTTCCTCGCCTTGTGGATGCTTCTCTCACCTAACAGATTCTCAATCAGACCTCACCCAGCAGTTTAAAACACACACATACACTCACACATTTGAAAGGCAAAATACATATACACACAGAAATTAAGAGAGGAAGAAAAAAAAGGGAGGGATGGAGTGAGGAAGAGAGAGAGAGTTGCTCCTTCAGCTGACTGTAAAGTTGGCTGGAATAGCCAGGTTAACCAATCACTGAGATACTGACATCCCATGTAAGACCACTGATTTCAATCCCAGTTCTTCTGCTTCCGATTCGTCTCCCTGCTAATACATCCAGGAAAGCCATACAAGCCTGACCAAGTAGTTAACTTTCTGCTGCCTATGTAGGAGACCTGGATGGACTCCAAGCACCAGCCCAGGTTGTTGCAGGCATTTGGGGAGTGAACAAGCAGATGGAAGATCTGTTTTTCTCTTTTCTTCCTCTACTCTGTTGCTTTGCCTTTAATGGAAATGAAAATAAGCAAGGAAATAAATTTTTTTTTGGTTATTGTTTTTGTTTTAAATAAATGCCTGCAACTGCCAGAGCTGGCATAGGGTGAAACCAGGAAAGTACACTTGGTCTTGCATGTGGATTGGTCTTGCATGTGGGTTGCAGTGAGCCAAACACTTGAGCTAGAGAAGTGGGAAACCACAGGGCAACAGGGGACTAGGAACTGAGATGAATCCTGTTTCTGCGTTTGTTTCCATGGTGTCCTTCATGGCATCTCTGTGATTTGATTCCTGGATTCTTGTCTGTACTCAGATCCGGGATGCACAAGTCCAGTATACAAAGTGGCATAGAATTTGTGTATAGCCTACAACATCCTGAGGTTTATTTTAAATCATCCTAGATTATATATTATAACCAAATAAAATACAAATGTCATGTAAGTAGTTGTTCAAATGTGTTGTTTAAGGATTAATGATGAGAAGAAGTTTGCATGTTCAGTATATTATGTATCTAAAAATATGCAATAAATAGAAATAAATATTTATTATATATTTTTAGGGCCCAGCATGGTAGCCTAGTGGCTAAAGTCCTCGTCTTGCACTCCCTGGGATCCCAGTGGCCCCCTTCACACCCTGCTTCCTGTTTGTGGCTTGGGAAAGCACTCAAGAACGGCGTCCTGGCTTCAGATCGGTTCAGTCGTGGTGGCCACTTTGGGAATGAACTTCCTCTCTGTCTCTCCTCCTCTCTGTATATCTGCCTTTCCAAATAAAAAAAGAATAGATACCACATGTTTGCCTTAATTTAACATGAAATGATGTCAATCTGAAAAACAGTACCTGTAAACTGTAATATTATTCAACCCCAAACAGCCTGCATCTCATGCAATAAGATATTGTGATGTAACCAATGAACCAACAGTCAATGTGAGTCAGACTGCTTATGATCTACATCAAAAAATCGTAAAACCCAATATACTTTTAAGACTCTCTGCCAGGCTGTGATGAATCTTAAGGGAAATTTTCTCACTTATTATACTACTCCTTGAACTTTTGCTGAAGGTTTACTTGTTTTTAAAATGAAGTACTTTTCAAAATGAAAAAGGATAAAATAATGTTTAAAACCAACACAGACTAAGGTTAAGATTACTTGAATGGGAGTTAATTGCTTATTAAAATTAAATCTAAAGTTGGCAGCTTAGGAGCCGAGTGACCATTATTTTTATTTAACAGATTATAATGGTATAGAGTAGTGAAAACACCTTATAATTTCTTAAAAGAAGTTTGCTGTTTCCCTGTTTTTATTGCTTTTTCATTTCTTGATCTGAAGCCATTTATCTTTCGATCGATGTGTTGAATTCCTTCTTTGTTTCTTCATTCCTACAAGATTTCACCAAGATTATCAGTGCTTATAGCAACAGGATCTTCTGCAGTCTCACCTATTCCTATACACTCAACAGCAGGGATTCACCAAAGGATCCTGGTACAAGGAAACTCTTCCTACAACTCAAGTGAAGGCACAAAACGTGAGCGCGCTGTTTAATCAGGTAGCATAGATTTTAGGGGGCTCAGACTGGGTTTTCTAATTCTTAACAATAAATAACATAGAAACTCCCTCAAATTGTCTCTGAATTTACAAAATTAAATAAAAAAATATTTATTATTATTTGAAAGTCAGATACACAGAGAGGAAGAGAGACAGAGAGGAAGATCTTCGCTCTTCTAGTTCTCTCCCCAAGTGGCCCTGATGACTGGAACTAAGCCAATCTGCAGCCAGGAGGCAGGAGCTTCTTCTAGGTCTCCCACGTGGGTGCGGGGTCCCAGGCCACAAGCAAGGAGCTGGATGGGAAGCAGGGCTGCTGGGATTAGAACCAGTGCCCATATGGGATCCTGGGAAGTGCAAGGTGAGAACCTTAGTTGCTATGTATGTACCAGGCTACCAGGCTACCAAGCTACAGCGCCGGGCCTGCAAAATTATTTTTGCCATGACATGAACAATGTGATGCCGAATGGGACCATGATGGGAAGCTTAATAACTACTATTGAGAACACCAGAAAGAGATTTGAAACATCTTTGATAAATTGGATTTACTTCTAGATTCTATCCTCCACAAAACCTATATACAGATCTAGTATCAAAATGACCTTGATAAATCTGGGATACCAAAAGCAAAACAAGCCCACATAGGGCATTATGGATGCCTGCTACTGAACAAATTACAAATGAGAAAAAGATCATGGAACAAAAGCCTGGAAGAGGCAAAATGGCAGGACTGTGAATGTCAACACTATAAAACTAAGCAAAAACTTATTCACATAAAAACTACCGTAAGTGCACCATACAAGAAAGTTACCAGAGCCCCTGGAAGTTTGGATATCCTCTAGCTGAGGAAACATGAAAAATGTGATAACAGGTCTAGGAAGAAGGTTCATCTTGGCTCATATCTCAACAATCTGGTCTGGACTGGTCAACGTCATTCCA